GTTGTGTGTTCGTGAGTTCAAACCACTTGTCACCGCCGGTTCCGCAAGGCTCACGCGTGCACAGACGATCCGCTGTACTCTCCCAAATTATCTGTTATCGACCATCGACACGGACACGCCCTGTTCCAGTCATATATAATGCCGTCGCCGCGTCCTCAACCCCCAAACAGCGTTCCACCCTCCTTGCACCTCCGACGCCGTGTCCCACATCTCTTCGGCTCCTCCGCCTCCCGCCACTCTCGACGTGCACGAGCCATGTCCATACCACAGCTCAGAGATCCTATGGAGCGAACGTTTCTCAACAACAGTCACGAGGAAGCTAGCGCCACGCGGCTCTGGAACAAGCTGCCCACGCGCTCTAAACGAGAAACAATGCGCGTCTTCTATCCCGAGCTGAACATCGACATTCCTAAAGAGCGTCTCATGCTCTACCTCCGTCGCGAGCTCCCGCTGGCCATGCTGAAAAACCCCGAGCCGAGCCAGAAATTCATACACACGTGGCGCGAGCTCTTGGACAGAGCTTGCGCCTACTTCGAGACCCTGAACCTGGACCCCGCCCTCATCCAGGAGGCTATCGACGAATGGCTCAGAATCGACGTCCCTGAACTAGTGAGGCTGGTGGCCCAGCATCCCGGATGTGCCAAATATCCCAAATTCAAGGAGCTGTCGAACCTACTCATCGAGATGCAAGCCGCCTTTCCCGACCCTGTCCGGTATCAGCAGTTGACCACGCTTCTCGCCACCATCGCCGCTACGATCTGCGACCCACCTAAGGCGGAGGCGGTCAAGAGTGCACAAGAAACCATCGACGCTATCGACCAGTACATCGTTGGCGATGCGCAAGTAGACCCGAAGGCCTCGATTGCCATCGACTTGGAGGCCGAGGACATGGCCATGACCGACGTACACGGACAAGGTAAGCTTCGCCGCTGTCGATCACAACTTTGTTCCTGACTGGCTGACTTGTCAGGCATCATCTCCGCGACTCCCGGTTCCGCTCCTGCAGAAGCGTCCGACATGGTGTTGACCGGTACCTACGGAAGTACGTGCGGTGCCCCTACCGCGTTAACGTCCTCACTGACCGCGGGTGTGTCTAGAGATCTTGACTGCGCCTTCCGTCGCCGGCGGCGAGGCTGACGGGTCCGGGTCGCATGACCCCTCTAACATGTCGCTCACTGGGATCTACGGTCGTACGCATCCAGCGCGTTGCTCACTTGTCGATGTGCTCATCCTCACTTCTTCAGGAGTCATTTACCACGCCTCAAAAAGCTTTATGGCGAGTTTCAACGCCGAAGCTGAAGCCGAAGCTGAAGTTGAAGCCGAAGCCGAAGCCGAAACCACTACCTCTCGTCCGCCGTCACGCAGCGATGCCGCCTCAGAACCGAGCGAGCGAGGAACGGCAGCCGGCAGTCCCCACAAGCGAGCGAAAGAGCGGGCTCGTATACTTCCGGAGACTGGGAAGGCACGCCGACAGTCTCACGCCAGCGAGGTCTCTGCAGGTGCGATATCTTACTCCCCCTCCTCCCCTTCCTTCTCTTCCTCCCCATCGTCGTCGAGTGGGATCAGGGCTTGCTGACACAGCTGTGTAGGCAACTTCTCAGGACTCCCGGAGATCAGGGATCCACACGGCGAGATCCTCTCTCTACGGCGCCAGCTCGAGACCGAGAAGAGGGAACGCGCAGCCGAGGTGGCGAGCCTGATGCAGGCGATGGAGCGGGAGACCGCGCTGCTGAAGAGTCAGGTCGAGGCCGCGCAGAAGGAGCGCGAGCGCGACCGGGACGACTACAACACCCGAACGGAGAAGATGGAAGCCATGTACAAGGGCCAGATGGAGAAGACGGAGATCTCCTTGACGACACAGTTGGAGAAGACGGAGGCGTCGTTGACGACACAGTTGGAGCGGACGGAGGTCGCGTTAAACGCACAGTTGGAACGGGAGCGGGCCGAGTTCAAGGCCCAGCTGGAGAGAGCGGAGAAGGAGCGGGAGCGAGAGCGGGCGGAATTCAGAGCTCAGCTAGAGAAAGCGGAAGTGCTGATGGCGACACAGTTGGAGAAGACGGAGGCTTCGCTAACCGCACAGATGGAGCGGGAGCGGGCCGAGCTCAAGACTCAACTTGAGAAGGCGGAGAAGGAGCGGGAGCGGGAGCGCGCGGAATTCAAGGCCCAGCTGGAGAAAGCGGAGAAGGAGCGCGAACGCGACCGGGTTGACTCCAAGGAACGGCTCGATGAGTTGAAGCGCGAGCGCACAAGGCTCGAGAACCAGTTGGACTCGATGCAGGCAGCATGGCAAAGAGTGCCTCCAAGGGTCGAGCCAGGTCATCGTCGAGACGCGGTTTAGTTGTAGAATCCTGCGCAGGCGCAGTAACATCCGGACGTTTCATGTATACATACATCGACTTCTCATGCTCTCTGAGCGCACATCTACAGTGTCACTAGAGCGAATACAGCGCACCTACGACCTCAGTCTTGCGCTGGCGTCGGCCTGCAGCGATGCCGCAATGAGATTGACGCATTGTCACGAACGGAAGTCTAATGGGATGTATATACTGACAATTGCTATGCAACGACTCGGGACGATTAGCACCTCCAATCCGGTTCGTATAAGCCGACCGCGCGTCCATATGCGAGAGGGAGGCAGTGGTATAAGTATTTTACAAGCAGACGAGTAGAGCGTTGCACCAGGAACGATGAGCATAGATGGTTCGTAACGTAGATCGTGACAGTTCATGCCTGCAAGGCCTCCGCGGGGTTGGGCTGTTCTACCCGGGGCGTCGCAGGTTCTAGCGCGTGGTCGGCCTGTTCTGCCAGCTCCTCCTGCAGCGCTTTACGGCCCTCTTCAGTGAGTACCGGCAGACCGGTGGAGATGTCCTTCTCGAAGTACTTGGGAGTAAACCTGCCAACGGACCTAGTCAGATATTATCCACCTCAAGTAGGGGACATACGTACTCAACACCCTTCTTCTTCCGCTCGGCAGCGTCGTCTCTCTGCTTCTGTTCGATAACGAGCTTGTGCTTCGTCGCCTCGCTGTATTCCTTGTTGAGTAGCCGACTCGTCACGTTCTCCCACAGCTTCCTGCTCTCGTTCGGGAGTTGCTTCTCCAGTGGTCGCACCGTCTTTGGGATGATGTGGAGCGTCGACAAGTCAAGCAGAGTAGCGTACTCGCTGTCCGGCGCGTCGACACGCTTCCACCGAACGCGTCCACGCCACGAGCCGTCGAAAACGGCAAGAACGCGGTCCTTCGGAACGTGCTTGACCCGCGTCCACTCCTCGTGTACGGTCTCCTTCGGGTCGTACGTGTGGATCACACCCTCCAACAGGAAATGCGCCTTGCCTAGCCACGACTCTTCCTTGTACTCAATCACCGCCCGGAGCTTCTGCCCATCTTTACCGCCAGAGCAGGTGATGATCGTGGAATCGCCAACGGTAACGTAGAACGAGCCCCGGAGCAGGCCATTCACGGATGCAATGGGGTGCGTGATGTGGTATGTTTCGCCAGCGCCTGGTTCACCTGTTATGCGAACGAAGATACCCTTGTTGAAGGAGCCGGGCATAACACGGAGGGTCGTGCCTGACACCTTGGCGGAGATCTGGTCGATACCGGCGAGCTCCAGATGACGGCTGGGGCAGACCGCATGATACGCCGATATGGGAGGGTGGTGAGAGACCTGCTCCGTAAGGTAGGCAATGCGGATGCGCGGCTTGTCGGCAGCGGTATCGTCAGCCTCGAGGAGATCCACCGCGCCGGAGGCTTGATCGTTCGCGAGGCTGAGATTCGACATCCCGGCCTCCGCGTTCGTCTCGCCGAGCTCGGGAGAGGTGGTGGGAGAAGACTTGGCGGTCGCCGAGTAACCGCGCGACATGAAACTAAGTCCACTAAAACCGCTCTTCCCACTGCGGCCGCTCTTCACGCTGGCGCTTTCAGAGAGCGAAGGGTGCATGACATCTGGCGCAGACGCAGCGGCGGAGGAGAAGAAATACGACGAAGAGGGGGCTGGGTCTGCCGAGGGTGGGGACACGTATAAGTGCTGGATTGGCGGCTCGTTGGGATCGGAGGGATAATCCACAGGGATAACGTCCCAATGAGAGCGGAAGTGTTCGCCAAGTACGGAGTTGTATGGCTTGCAGACCTTGCCTCTCTGCGCGACATGAGTATTGATTTACGGAGGAACTCAGAGAATCACTTACAATGAACTTGAGATCCTTGGAGAAGGTAAACCTGAGTACGGCCAGCATACGTTCAAATGGATCATCGGAATCGTTGATGCTGGATTTCGATCATACGTCGGAGGAAGCGGGTTATGAAGATACGATGTTCCACTTACGCAGCAAAGAGATCCGGGCGGTCCAGATATTGCCAGTACTCGAGATTCGGGATCGGTTCCAGCAGCGAAGCAGGAAGGGAGAGCCGCCTTGTTTAAGACGTTGGGCATTGTCAAGTGGCAATGAGGCTGAGATACATACATTGCAGCAATGTCCTTCACTCCTAGGCACTTCTTCACGAGCTGCACGATCATCTTGAGCTTTCCGCTTTCTCCAGTGTCCCCGGAATCGGGCACAGAGATGGCCTGGCCGGGGGCATCCTCATCAAGTGGATTGACCGCGTTGTTCTTGTCGGCCATCGCGTGCAGTCAGCAGGGCAAGAAAATGCTGCAAAGAGCGAACAACGGGAGACGTGTAGGAGAGCGTCGAAAGGGAGGGAGACAAAGAACGTGCGCCCTCTCGACACCGACTGCGACGCTGAAGAGGAAGGCAGTGAGCGCCTGATTGTAGCCAAGCCCATACACAGTAACACGCCACGTGGATTTAATCGCCCGCTGCATGACGTAATGAGGAACAGATGACCGGGTTACTGCAAATAATAGAGCTAAGTATCTCCAGTTAAAAAGGTTCTATACCCATAGATGGTCAAAAACGGTCAAAATCAGCTCTCTTCAGGATTTCGACTGGGGAGCGTTGGGGGAGCGTCTTATCCCCCTGAATAGTTGGAAGGGCTAAAAGAATGTTTCGACCTGGTATCGAACCGGGGGCCAGCGCCGCAGAATACTGGTGTGAGACAGACGTGATAACCACTACACCACCAAACCAAGCGCAGACAAGTCACATGTGGTCTACTCATAGCCACTCACCCATACAAGCGCCCGTATTAGCCCCGCCGCTTGCACCATCGTTCCATCCAACTCCCAGTCAAGTCTCCTCGAACCAAGCCTTGTCCGCCCGCATGCCATTCAACATAGCGTGAGTGCTCTCTGCTGTCCTGTCGCGTCAGGCTGTTGATGCCTTGCTCGATAGGATGATATGTGATTTCTTCCACCCCAACGTGGGTGGGGTTGAAAGTCACATCTACATGCTCAGTGCTAACCTCATAGCCCGTGGACACAAGGTGACGGAACGCCTTGACGCCAAGCCGTAAGCTGACCCGACGCAGGTTATTGTGATAACTCACAGTCATCCTCCGGACCGCGTAGGGGTGCGATGGCTTCTCCCTTCGTTGAAAGTGTATTACATCCCATTCCCGACCATTGCATCTTCCGCGACTCTCCCGAACTACTTCACTTTCTTGCCGTATCTACGAACCATTGTTCTCCGCGAAAACATTCAACTCATCCATGGTCACGCTGGTCTTTCCTCATTGGCTCACGAAGGGATTCTGCATGCCCATCTCATGGGTGTGAGGACAGTGTTCACAGACCATAGCTTGTTTGGGTTCGATGACGCAGCAAGCATCCTAACAAACAAGCTACTAGAGGCCGCTTTGCGCAACGTGGATGCTGCAATCTGCGTCTCGCACACCGGGTAAGACCTCGCCACAGAGTACGAACGCCATCAAACTAATTGAGCCGATCTCACAGCCGCGAGAACACAGTTCTACGAGCAAGGATTCTGCCGGACGTCGTCTACGTCATCCCAAACGCACTCGACGCAGAACAATTCAAGCCCGCACCGACACCGCCTACTGGAGATACAAGTAAGGAGACAAACAAATCGCATGCCCGTTGACGTCACTGACACGTCGTCAGTTACCATTGTTGTCGTGGCCAGATTAGCTTACAGGAAAGGAATCGACCTACTCATAGCAACTGCGCCTCGTATATGCGCACTGTTTCCCAATGTCCGCTTCCTCATTGGTGAGGGCGTGCGAGTCCGTATGCGTAAGCCATGTCCGCTCACCGATCTTGCAGGAGGCGATGGACCTAAGATGATAGACTTGCTGCAGATGCGTGAGAAGTATCTTCTGCAAGACCGCATCGAAATCCTCGGCCCGGTTCGATCCAATGAAGTCCAAAACGTGAGTGAGAGCATGCTATTAGTCGCTTTTGGACATATTCTCACTCATCAGCAGGTTCTCAACCAAGGGTCGATCTTTATGAACACATCTCTGACCGAATCCTTTGGTATAGCGACGCTCGAAGCGGCGTGTACAGGTCTCTACGTCGTATCAACTCGAGTCGGCGGCGTTCCCGAGATTCTTCCGGAAGACTTGATATCATTCGCGAACCCTGACGAGGACGGTGAGTGCACTCCATGCCTATTCAATCTCTTGTTAACTTTCGTGGTCAGATGTTGTAAGAGCCATGTCCGAAGCGATTCGAATCGTCTCTGCCGGGAAGCATGATCCTCATAAAGCCCATGACCGTATCAAACACTTCTACGACTGGCACTCCATCACTAGTCGGACAGAAGTCGTCTACGAGTCGGTTATGAAGTCACAACCGTACGACTTCTGGACGCGCATGCATCGGTTGGTCTCTGTTTCAACAGCGTGAACAATTCGCAACTGAAAATGTACACAGAACCTTAGACCTGGGACCGATAGCTGGCATCATCTTCGCTATCATTCTCGTTGTCGACTGCCTCTTTTTTATGTTTCTAGAGTGGTGGTTACCCGAAGATGAGTTAGACAAAGTACAGATGCACTGGACGCCAGAACGCTTCGCAGAGGTGAGTTAGTATTCAACTTCGATCGGTAGATAACGCTGATTCTTCTTATTTCCCAGGTAGCAGAAGACTTTGAAAAGACATCCAGCTCTTAGCATGTATCTGTCGAGGGGCAGGCAGGATGTACCAGCCCGCTGTCCTGCTCGTTCCTACAGCGCTAGCTTCGTCTTCTATCGCTCTCGGACGCCCGGGCCGTCGCTTGTGATGCACCACGTGCTTAGCCATTGATCCATCATTTGATTCATTTCAAACCCTCTCGATCATCCGACTCGACTGTCCTGCTTGACTCGCTCTCTCACCACTCGGTCCTCAATGGGAACGTCGCTCGAGGACGAAAAGACGAGCAGCGTCGTCGATGACCAAGTTGACGAACTTCCCACGACCCGGACGCAACAATGGATGAAAAAGACTACGACCTTCCTGGCCCATTGGGGGATTGAGACGAATGGGTGGGTCTGGTCTGAGACTGTTGTTGAAGTCCATGCTGATTACAACTTCGCTTGGAAGTATTGATCCCATCGCTCCGGAGGATAGGCAAGACACGAAGCTATACCAGATGTTCTTTGTCTGGTTCTCTGCGAACATCAACATTCTTGCGTTCGTATTCTCCCGCCTCACTATCCTGCGAGTGACCATGCACACATGATGCTGAACATTATGACGGCTAGCTTTGGAACTGGCACTGCTGGACCTGCGTTCTTTGGCCTCGGCCTCAGAGATACCCTTGTTATTCTCCTTATCGTTGATATCATGTGAGTCCATTGCCGCTGCTCCTCCATGGCAAAGACATGAGCAGAAGTGACTCCGAATCTCGACCGCCGTGTTATCAGTGCCTGCGCAATCCCTGCATACTTGTAAGTATTTTTGTCGGGTAAAGTTTCCACGTTGTGGTGTTGATCCTACTCCCAACTTAGCGCAGTCTTCGGTCCCAAGCTTGGCATGCGGTCTATGGTGCTTGCCCGATACTCCTGGGGGTATGTCGATCCTTCACTGGTCGAGAACCATTGGCTGTAAAGCTGACGGCATTGTGGCTACAGATACTACGGATCGCTACTTCCTAGCGCCTTCACGGTCTTCTCCATGCAGGGGTTCTTGATCCTGAACTGCATCATAGGCGGCCAAACCCTTGCTAGCGTCTCCGACCATCTCAACGAGACTCTGGGCATTGTCATCATTGGTATCATCTCACTTGTGGTCGGTTGTGATTCAGATAGTGTAGACGACCAGGATGACTGAGCGCATCCCTCAGGTCACATTCTTCGGTTATCGCGTCATCCATTGGTTCGTATGCAATCTCAGCTTTCGTGCGAGCACAGGCTTACTATGCGTCCCCATAGGTATGAGACCGTAGCGTGGATCCCCAGCGCCATTGCCTTCATCGTTATGCTTGGGACTGGTGGAAAGCACCTTGGGAGCAACATTCCACCTGGGGAACCAGCCTCGCCAGCAGCCATCCTGTCTTACGCGACAACAGTAGCGTCCAGCGTCATAAGCTGGTGTATGATGACCCCCGACTACGGAGTTTATCATACCAGCAAGGCCTCTAGGTTGGTGTGCTGAAGCTCTGACTCATCGAACCTCATACTCACGATGGCTTAGCACAAGGGTGTTCCTATACAGTTATGCGGGATTCTTTGTTGCCAGCGTGAGCTCCAACGCGTTAATGTACCGCAAGCATTCCCTGACCACGAATGCGCCTTGCCACAGATTGTCGCGCACATGCTCGGCGCCGCCTTTGCAGCCGCCGCCCCAGCAGTCCCGGAATGGCAGACCGGCTTTGACAACGGGAACAACGTCGGCGGCCTCGTCCAGGCCGTCCTCGCGCCCGCAGGCGGATTCGGCAAGTTCCTCACCGTCGTCATCGCCCTGTTCATCCCGAGCGCGTGCGCGCCGACGATGTACACGTTCGCGTCCAGCTTCATGACGATCCACGCCTGGTTCGCCCGCGTGCCGCGCTACGTCTACACCGTCATCTCCGAGGCGATGTGAGTCACCCTGCTCCCTAGTACCCCTGCTCCCGGGCCCCTACTTTTCCTCCCTCGCATCCTGCCTGCTGACTCCCCGCCTCTCTACACCAGACTGATCCCCGTCGCGATCGTCGGCGCGACGCACTTCTACGCGACGTTCGTCAACATCCTCAGCGCGATCGGCTACTGGAGCACCGTCTTCGCCGCGATCGTCATCCTCGAGCACCTCCTCTTCCGCGCGCACGACTGGGCGCGCTACGACCTCGCGCAGTGGTGCAAGCCGACGGAGCTCCCGCCCGGGCTCGCCGCCGTCCTCGCCTTCCTCTGCGCGTGCGGCATCATCGTGCCGTGCATGTCGCAGGCGTGGTACGTCGGCCCGATCGCCAGCGCGGGCTCGGGCGACATTGGCGTCTTCGTCGGGTTCGCGATGGCTGCTATACTGTATCCTGCGTTTAGAGCTGTTGAACGGGCTGTTTCGGGCAGATAGAGACGTGGTATGGTCGACTGTAGATTGGGATGTGGATGTTTCTTCATATAGACACCCCATTCTAATCCAGCCGCACTGGGATCCGCGGTGCCCACCAAAGTTCGGAATCGAAGATCCCCCATCTATTGCCTACAAGGTTTGAGGGGCCCACAGAGGGGCCCCACCCTACATATGATACACTGGAAGTCTGATGTACATGGCTGCATTTGTCCTTTCTGATCGCCCCCAGCACGTCCGACGACACGATCCCCCCTCACTTTTGCTAAGAGAACGGGGCACGCTTCGCCCCACGCCCCAGCTTCGCCCACCAATCCGTCTGTCGCGGGTTCGCAGCGACCGCCGCCCACCCGCCGTCCGAGCCCGTGAACGTCTTCCTCAGCAGCGCCGCATCCAGCGCGTACTTCCGGACGTCCTCCTCGCTCTCCCACACCGAGCACCCCCTGACGAGGCGCGCGAGCACGGGCTCCCAGAGCGCGTCGTCGAACCAGCCCTCCTGCCTCATGCAGAACCACGCCATCTCCATCCGCCGGAAGCCGTCGAGGTGGTTGAACTGGTGGATGCGGATGCGCTTCAGTGGCTGCTCGGGCGCGCCCTCGGCGAGCCACTTCTGGAACAGCACCTCGTCCTGCGCCGCCTCGACCGCGCGCAGGCCGATCATGGCGCGGCGCATGTCGCTCACGGCGCGCAGCGCGTC